CTTCACTGGGCAATTAGGGATGGGCAACAGCCACATCCCATTAAGAATAGATAAAACCAAAAAAAGAAACTTAGTAAAAGCTTTCCATTAGACAAAATGTTATTGACATGAAGCATTCATTCTTTTCTTCTTTATGGAGACCCGCTGAGAGTTTCCAGCATTGTTTTTATTTCACTCTCAACTATAATACTTTACATTTAATTGTTACTCATTTAGTGACAAGTTATATTAAAAAATGAATGAAATGACATGGTTTACATATTCCTGAAACATTAGCAGCTCTTATTGCAATAGTTCATAAGCAGATTCAATTTTTAATGGCATTTTATTACTACAGGTTGCAAATTATAAGAAGTTCCTTCCATTGTGATCAAGCTTACCTATTGCCAAAAATATTTCATTCACATTCATTGAAGTCTTTGCAGATGTCTCCATGAATAATAAACTGTTGTCATCTGCATAGGACTGTGCTTCCTACAAATAAATCAATTAGTTAGAAAATAGTTTCCTTGGAGCCTATGGGCAGGACTACAGCAACTATTTCAGCCCCTACAAAAAGGCACAATTGGAATATATTCAGTTTTTTTGTTATGAAAAAAATATTTTTGTATAGTGTAGTCTGTAAAATACATTTTGGAGCATGCCATTCTGTTGAACATCAGGGATACAAAAATAGACTTAGCAATGCAAAAAAGAAATTCATTTAAGTTTTTAAACATTTATATAATTCATGAGAACTCTTCTCTTAATCAAAGCTTTGATTTAACCCTTCTAAGGTCAGCTTCTACTCTTACCCTCCCTACCAGGCAGCAGCTCATTGAGATTTACTGCTGCAAGTGCTAGCAATTTCCAAACATAACTGAGAATTCAGGTGCACTCACAGCTAACTTGCCAATTAACCTACCCTGACAATCAAAAAAAACACAAATCACAAGGTGGGAATTATAACATTGCTATTAATCAGCACTTCTCAATAACCTGATCATTGATGCTTAGTATGACTTTCAGGGGAGGCAGTGGCAATGTCACTGGATTAGTAACCAAGAACACCAGGTTAATGTTCTGGGTCAGGGGTCAAATCCCACCATAGCAATGGGAAAATCTAAATTAAATGGAAATCGGGAATACAAAGACATAGCCTCTTGGCGACCACGAACCCAGTGTCAATTGCTGTAAAAACCCATTTGTGCATTAATGTTTTTTAGGGACACCTGACTCCAGAACTTTAGCTCTCAACTGTCCTCTGGGCAATTAGGAATGGGCAATAAATTCTGGCCTAGCCAATGATGCTCAAATCCCATGAACAGAATAAAAAAAAACTTAAGGTTCACTCAAACTTTTGACCTCATTCTAAACTCAGTAGAATCATGTGCACAAAACTTTTAACTTCCAAGATGAGGTTGCTGACTGGCCAACATTATGAAAGACTGATTTGAATGTAGCACTAAATAAAAGTGAAATTAATCAGAATTGGGGAAATTCTCCATTGGCTGAGGTCATGAAAAACAGTGACTGTTTGAAGGCAATCTCAAATATTTCATCACTTCATTTGGTGGTGGTTAGAGAAATTTCCAAGAATAACCCCCAGATAATTATGTGGCAACCAACAGGTGCAAGGCATTGACATTTTGTTTACTAGTTGCAAAATGGCTCATCAGGACAGAAAAAGATACACGGGTTTCACGTTTCATATAAATCAGCCTAATAATTATCAAAACACATTGTCAAATGCAGCAAGATGCAGGCAGCCTCAAGATTCGACTGATGTGACACGAATCTTACTTGTCGCATAAATGGCAAGCAATCTTCAACAAGAGAGAATGCAATCATCTTGCCACAACAATCAATAGCATTATCACTGCTGAATCAAGTCATTTTTATGACAGAAACGTAACTGTACCAACCATATAAGTATTGTGCCTACCAAGAGCAGGTCAGAGGCTAGACAGTGAAGAGTAACTCACATCCCAATTCCCAAATACCTGCCATATGGAATTCTCACCACCTGCCTGGATGGTGCAGCTCCAACACAAGAAGCTTGACACCGTCCAGGACAAAGCAACATGCTTAACAGACACCTCATCCTTAAACACCACCTTGAACATTCACTCCCTTCACCACTGGCACAGTGGCAGCCATGTGTAACATACAGAAGACAAAATGCAGAAACTTGGCAGACACCTTCCAAACCTGTAATCTCTATCACAAACAAAAACACAAGTTGCTGAAAAAGCTCAGCAGGTCTGGCAGCATCTGTAAAGAGAAATCAAGAGTTAACGTTTCAGGTTCAGGGACCCTTCCGCAGAATCTCTATCAATTAGAAGATAATTAGAAGATCAAGAGAAGCAAATGCTTTGCAGCACCATCATATCCAATTTCCTCTCCAAGCCACATATCATCCTGACTTGGAACTGTATTGCCCTTGCTTCACTGTCAAAATCCTGGAAATCCCATTCTAACAGAACCTTGGGTGCACTATCTTCCAAGGACTGCAGCAATGCAAAACAACAGCTCACCACCATCTTCTCAAAGGCACTTAAGGATCGGCAATAAATGACGACTTAGCCTATAATGGCCACATTTCAACAAAGAATGAAAGTATATTTAGATCATTTTCAGAGAGATAAAGTAATTATTAGGTTCAGATCTCAAGTAACTATTGGGCAGTGAGAATCAATTTCCATTAAGGTAGAGAGATTAAGTTGCTTACAGAGGCAACTATGGTAATTGAACCAGATGCATTGTCCTGGTCAATGGTAGACTCAAAATTATAATAGCTATTATAGCAAGGAATAGGATTTTTGAAGAGGTTGCTAAAGGCTTCCAATTTAAATTTCATATGATCAATTAGATTAGCAGCTAGTCACAAGTGTGATCGGTGTACTTTGCTTAGTATTTAATCAATACTCTTCAAAGCAAATTCAAAAGGTTTTGAAAACATTTTTGCAGAAACTGTTCTTTTTTTCATATACAAACCTGGAACTCTACTGCTCTCTTGTTAGCAAGATCAGCCTTGTTTCCTGCTAAAGCTATAACAATGTTAGGACTTGCTTGCCTCTGAAGTTCCTTAACCCAGTTCTTGGCCCGTACAAAAGTGTCCTGCAAAAGAATTGACACAAGAAATAATGAACATAAAATACTTTTTAAAAAGAGCTATCAAACATATCTCACTGTCCTGCGAAGCACTGTCAGAAAAAAAAAGGTAGTTGTATGATAAAATCACTAGCACTATTTGACAGAAATCATTTCAGAAAAGGAGTGCCACGCTTCAACTTTACCAGACAGAGGTATGCCTGTCAGATAACAGATGCATGGTAAAGCTCATAAAGCTCTGAATGTCAAATCCAGAGAAACTATAACCTGAGCCAGATTCAAACATTTTAAATCACCTAAGCTTTAAATCAACAAAATGCAAAGTAAGTCCTACTGTGCAGCCAAATGTCAGCTTAAAGATCTGCTTTTCCAGGAACCTTGTGTCTCAGTGCTTGTATAAAAGGCAGTATCAGCCAGTAAATATATTTTAATGATTTCAATGAGAGATTTTACAAAATAAGTGCTACAAAGAGAAGGTCTGGTACAGTGATTGTTCCAAATTAAAATAAACCTTATCCATTTTGGATTACCATAAACTATTTTCTTGATGTTGAGACAATCCACTTGTGGAAGGGTGTTGGCTGCAACAATCAATGAATCATATGTAATTCAAGGTAAATCGTGGCCAGTTTGTTATATTGTACATGAAGAGATTTAGCAGTTTAGGCCTGTATTCTCTGGAGTTCAGAAAGGATCTAATTAAGATACTTAAGCTAAAAGGATTGACAAGGTAGACAGAGACAGAATGGTTCCTCATAGAGGTCATAGCTTTCGGATGGGGGTAGCAGATTTAAAGCAGATAAGGAGAAATTATTTCTCTCAAAGGGTTGTGAATCTGTGGAATTCATTAGCCTGGAGCAGACAACAGGATACTCAATAAATCTGAGGAGACACACATATTTACTTAGTAATGGGTTGAAGGGTTACGGAGAGTGGGCAGGTAAGTGGAGCTAAGGTCAAAATGATCATATTAAAGAGCAAAGCAGACTTGAGGTGCTGAATGGTCTACTCCTGTTCCTGGTTCTTACGTTTTACGACAGAAATTCAATGCAGGTCGGATAGGGGGTGAGGGAGATAATACAACAATTAATAAACAGGCTAATATTGTGTGCAATTATAAAAAGTGTTACAAAGTTAACATAGGTAATTAGAAACCCATTAGTCTTAATATCAACCTTAATTTACTATTGTGCAAAATAACAGAAGAATCAATGTACTACACTTTGATTTCCAGAAGGAATTTGATAAGGTGCTGCAGCAAAGATTATTGTGCAAAATAAAAGATTGTGTGGGGGATAGCACGTTTCATGGTTAGAAGATTGGTTAGCTTACAGGAAGCAGAGAACAGGTGTAAATACACCTTTTTCAGGTTGGCAAGGCAAAAATGAGTGGTGTGTAACATATCGGTGCTAGGACCTCAAGGTGATTATAATTTATATAGATAACTTGGTGAAGGGATGGAAGATATTGTTGCCAAAGTTGCTGACGCCACAAAAGATAGGTAGGAAAGTAAGTTGTGAAGAACACAAGAAAGTTATAAAAAGAGAGATTGATAAATTAAGTAGGCAAAAAGATGTGGTAAATGGACGATAACATGGAAAAATTTAAAGTTATCCACTTTAACAGAAAGAATAGAAAAGCATATTAGTTAAATGAAGAGAGATTACAGAGATCAGAGATGCAAAGGGATCTGGGTGCTTTTTTGCACAAATCACAAAGGATTAGTACACAGGTACAGCGAGTAATTAACTCAACACGGTGGCTCAGTGGTTAGCACTGCTGCCTCACAGCGCCAGGGACCCGGGTTCAATTCCACCCTTGGGTCTGTGTGGAATTTGCACATTCTCCCCGTGTCTACGTGGGTTTCCTCCGGGTACTCCAGTTTCCTCCCACAGTCCAAAGATATGCAGGTTAGGTGGATCGGCCATGCTAAATTGCCCATAGTGTCTCGGGATGGGTCTGGTTCTGGGTGGGATACTCCGAGTGTCACCGTGGACTTGTTGGGCTGAAGGGCCTGTTTCCACACTGTAGGGATTCTATGAAGTCAGAGGGTGTGCTTCAATTGTACAGGACACTGATAAGACTACATCTGAGTACAGGTCAGCTTATTTAAGTAAGGCTACAAATGCACTGGAAACAATTCAGAGAAGGGTTTATTCCAACAATACATCAAATGGGCAGGTTGTGTTACAAGGAAAGGTTGGATGGGCTTGGTTTAGATCTGCTGGGAGTTCAGGAGTGAAAAGTTGAGGGAGGGACTGACCATTCAACCCTTATGAGCCTGCTCTGCCATTCAATTTGATCATTGCTGATCACCCAAAATCAGTGCCCTGTTCCTACTTTCTTGCCATACCCCTTAATCCTTTAACACCAAAATGTCTAACTCCTCCTTGGAAACAATGCTTTGGCCTCAACTACTTCCTGTGGCAGAGAATTCCACAGGCTCACCATCCTTTGCGTGAAGAAATTTCTTATCCTCCCATGGGAGAATCTGGAACTTAGGGTGTCACTAAACCAAAAACAGGGTCAGGTGAGCAGATTAAAATGGGTTAGGCAATTTTTTTTCTCTCCAAGAATCAATCACCTTCAGAACTCTCTCCTTGAAAAGTTGATGAAACCAAAGTCCTTGAATCTACCTACGTCTGACTTAAAAATAGTCATGTCAAGCAAGGGTTTGAAAGGTTATCAGGCATAGTCAGGAATGTGGATTTGAGGTTACACAATCCAGATCAGCCATGATCTTTCCAAAGGTGCAGATGGCTCAAGCAATTGAATGGCCTACTCCTGCTCCTGAAATGTATGCTCATAATTGTCAGATGTAGACATTTTTAATCAACCTGTTAAGACATGTTACGACATTCGCCTGACGCAGGCGAGAGTTGAACCTGGGTTCTCTGGTCGAGAAGTAGGAACATTACCACCACGCCACCAAAGCATTCAAAACAGAGATTCAGGAAGAGTGAACTTACCTGATGAAGTGAATCGAGAGAAAAATAACCCAAATGAATTGTGGAAAGCCTTACATGTACACAGACTTCCAAAATGAATTTGCACGTTGCACTGAAGAATTTTTTTTTAGTTAAATGTGGAATTAGGAATTCAAAGTAAAATGAGCACATCAACTATGAAACCCAAACATAGAAAAGCAGTGGGTACTTTTACAGACTGGAGCGCACTGTCACCCAGTACTGGGTCACTACTGTTTACAATTTAATTCAGTAGCAGATCAAGGAATACGATGCAAATTGGTTAAATATGAAAAGTGAAAAATGGCAGTTAGAGTTCAATTTAAATAAATGCGAGATATTGCATTTTGGAACAACAAACAGGAGCAGGACTTATACAATTAATGCTAGGGCCTTGGATAGTGTTGTAGAACACAGAAGGACGTAGGAGTTCAGGTACACAATTCTTTGACGTTTGCGTCACAGACAGGGTGGTTAAAAAGGCATTTAGCATGCTTGCCTTCATTGCTCAGTCCTTTGAGTATAAGAGTTGAGAAATAATGTCGAGGTTGTACAGGACATTGGCGAGGCCTCTTCTGGATTACTGTGCCCGGTTCTGGTTTCCCTGCTATAGGAAGGATATTATTATTTTGGAGATTTACCAGGTTGTTGCTGGCACTGGAGGGTTGGAGTTACAAGGAGAGGCAGGATAGTCTGGGACCTTTCTCAACCTCCTATGCTCAGTGAGGGGTGACCTTATAGAGGTTTATAAAATTATGAGGGATATAGACAGAGTTAATGGTAGGTGCCTTTTTCCTAGGATGGGGGATTTCAAGACTAGAGGGCATATTTTTAAGACGAGAGGAGAGGAGAGAGGTTTAAAAAACACTTGAAGAGCAATTTTTGTTTTAAAAACACAGACTGGTGCATGTTTGGGATGAACTTCCTGAGGAAGTGGTGGAAGTTTAAAAGACATTTAGATAAGTATATGAATAGAAAAGTTTGAGGGATATGGGCCAGGAGCAGGCAGACGGGACTAATTTAGCTTGGCATTATGTTTGGCAGGGACTGGTTGGAACGAAGGGTCTGTTTCTGTGCTCTATGACTCTATAATGTTTAGCAGTTTGAGTTTACATAGGGAGTTATTGATAAGTCATAGAAATTAGATAAGTGGCAGAAAAATTACACTGACCTTGATCCAAGTGTACAATTACAAGTGTTATTATGGCTTGAGAAAATGCTACTCAGCTCACTGAGTTCGTGCAAGCTCTCTGTAGAGGTATCTAGTCACTGCCACTTCCTATCTATCCCTGTTGACTGCAAGTTAAACTTCCTTTGGGAGTCTTCCATCATTCTCCTAGGTACCAACCTCCAGTTCATTACCACTCATGGAGTAAAATGATTCCTAATAACCCCCTAAATCTATTGCCAAACCTGAAATTTATGTCTCCAGTCCCTGTCCCATCATTGAAACTAGGCATTACATTGGACATCATTATTAAATCTCCCATCAATCTCCTTTGCTGCAAGAAAATCAGTTTCTCCAACCTGACTTTAATCGCTGCAAGTCCTCATCCCTGAAATCATGCTTGAAAAATCTTCTCCGCACTGTGGAGGACACTATCATCCCTGCTGAAGTGTGGTGATCAGAACTGGAAATATGCTAGTAGTGGCTGAACAAAAATGATGCAAATATTCAGTATTACTTAGCTGCCTGTCTTCAATACCTCTTATGAAAGCCAAAACTGTAACAGAGGGGAAAAGTGCACATTGTATGCACTCCACAACAGTGATGAAATAGAAGAGTGAAAGAGATTTAAGAGTCTTAGTAGACTTGGAGTTCAAACATATCCAAGTCCATAGATCAGTGATAAAATTAAAACAATATGTTAGTTATTTGCTAGTGGAGCACAAGTCAGAAGTCAATATCAAAAATCAGATCTGGCCAGAGCACACCTTCAGTAGTTTATGTAGCACCAGTCATCAAACGACAAGGAAGACACAGAAGATCCAGATCAAGAAAGAGCCATGATGCCAACTCTTAATATTAAGAAACGTAAACAAGGCAGGCTAGGAAAATGTGGCCTTTTCAACCTTGAAAGATCATTGAGTCAAATGGTATACAAAAAATACAATTCAAAATTACTTTGAACTACATTGCAAACATAGAACCAGGGATCACAATTTTGTATCAGCAAAAGAAAACAATTAGGACTGATATCAGGAATTTTATCGAAAGTGTTCAAAATACAAATGTGTTTGCAGATGATTTTGTGGATGTAAAAAGTAACATTGAATTTCTAGAAGAAAGAGGCTCACCACAATTATCCAGTGATTTTCATAACATGGAGCTTTTCTACACTACCTTGTTATTATCTGCATAGACCATACACCCTCTAAGCCAAAGGAATCAGATGGGAAGCCAAAATAAAACTCAAACTGAAGAGAAAAAGCTTCAACAATCCAAGGCCTAGTACAACATTCCAAATCTGTGACCTCTGCCATTTAGAAGAACAAGAGTATTAGATACAGGAGAATACCACAACCTTACCTGCAAGTTCCCCTCCAAGTCACACATCATCTTGACTTGAAAATACATCACATTTCTTCACTGTTGCTGGTCAAAATCCTAGAACACACTAACACCACTGTACGTGTACCTATATTGCATGGACTGCATCAGTTCAAGATGGTAGCGTACTGACACTAACTCAAGGACAGTGGAATAATTGCTGGCATAACCAGTGATGCTCACATTCCATAAACAAATAGGTAATTCAGATACACGAGTCTTGATTAGAACATGTGAATGCACACTTACACTTGTAATATTTCCAGAAATTCCATTGCTCAGATACACGAAAAATTTCTTATTGAACCCTCAAAATACCAAAATCGGACAAACCATATAATGGCAAAGTTAAATATTCAATACGTCAAGATTGAAAACAAACATCTGTATCAAGTCTGTTAAACTTTGGGGATGTAGGAAATCTTAATATTCAAACATTAATTCCTCCAACATAATCTTGAATAAACTAGCGACAGAAAACAAATAAAAAGAGGAAATGAAACGAACAAAATGAACTAAAGATTAAAATTTCAAAAGAAGTGACAAGGGGTAGAAAAGTCAGAAATAGTAGATGTGTGCACAAACAAGGAGCTGGCAACTATTCATCCCCGCAAACCTGTTCTGTTACCATTCAACAAGATCATGGCAGTTTGGGTTTTGGCTTCAACTCCACATTCTCACCTAGCGCCATTATTCTTTGATTATTTTACTAGACAGAGATCCAACTACCTCTGCATTAAAAATATTCAATGACTTTGCCTCAACAATTTTCAAAAGGCTCACGGCCCTCAAAAAAAACTTCAAGCGACTTAAATGGAAGACCCTTTCTTAAAAAAAATCTGCTTGTTCCATAAATTTAAAAATCTATCCTAATAGATCTGTTCCTAATGGATAGTACTAGCAGATAGTTCAACAGAATCCTTTTCCCAAATTTAGTGCTTATTTCACACAAAGAATCTTAACATTTTAACACCTTCATCCAACCAACAGAAAGCTGTACTAGTTAATTACAAATGCACTGTGTATGCTAGTGCATTCAGTGAATTGAAATTGTTTGAATTTTGTATATTTACTAGAAATAATTCAATCTTTGGAATACTACCAGAATTAATAACGTAGCTGTATAAAGTCATTGTATAATTCTACTTACATCATTTGTAATATCGTATACCACTATGGCAGCCTGTGCTCCTCGATAGTACATTGGTGCCAAGCTGTGATATCTTTCTTGCCCTGCCGTATCCCATATTTCAAACTTCACAGTTGTGTCATCCAAGCATACAGTCTGAGTTAGGAAAGCAGCTAAAACAAAATAAATGTATGAGCAGGTCAATGTTTTTGTGTAATTAAAAGATGGAATATTTTTAAATGAACATGCAAATAAAAAGCAATTCAGAGAAGGTTCATTAGATTGATTCCAGATATGAAAGGTTCATCTTACAAGGAAACATTGAGCAGTTTAGACCCACACACGGAGTTAAGAAGAATGACAGGAGATCCAACTGAGGTATACAAGATGCAGAGCCAACGTTACCTCTTGTGAAACAATACAGAATAACGGGTCATAGTTTTAGGCAAAACAGTGGCAGGTTTAAAACATTTAAAATTCCTTGATGCCATACTCTGAAATGCTGCCTTGATGTCAATAACAGAGGCACTCAGCTCCCCTTTGGGAGATCAGCTCTTCGGTTCATGTTTGGTTCAAGGGTTGCCACAAGGTAAAGCTCTGATGGAACCCACAATGATCAGTTAAGCAGCTTATTTCTTTGCAGGTCCTGCTTGACAGCACTGTCAATGTACCTTTCTGTCGCTTTGACTGAGAGAAGAGCAATAGGGTGGTAACTGACTGGATTCCATTTGCACGGCTTTTTGGGCACAGGACACACTGGATAGATGCAGGTGGTATAGCTGTAACAGCTTTATGTAAGTTTTTAGTTAAATAACATTTTAAAATTATACATTACAAATTTCAGTTACTGTGCTGAATTGTTAAGAAAATAGTTACAATGGCATTTTACTGAGGACTTGACTGGAATTAACCAGCCTGCAGCATGACACAACTCTAACTTCATAGCCTGCAATCACAACTGCCATTTTTCTGTTAATTCCACATCAACTAATTTGCAGAAATCAAAATCAAAGTAGCAAATTAAATTGTTATACTGAATGCAGCAGCAATCTTAAAACTAAGTATTGCTTCACATTCTTAAAAGTATTTTTAAAATCAGACTGTATTGCATACACACAATAAAATGTTACAATACACATTTTCCCAGCATTAGGTGCAATAAAAATATTTTAAAAAGATGCAGTTCAGTGCATAATTTGGTCTCCTGTTTGAAAAACAAATTTAGATTTTAAACAAACGTAAAATTCAAATAATTGTGCTTATCCTTTTGCAGTTGAAGTGTTAGTCTACAAACCGATAGCTACCAGAACCATAAACATTCAAATAAAGGGCTACAAAATGCTTGCTCAAACAATAAAACACTACAAATCTTTTGTGCTAGTTAGAGTTTAGCACCTAGATATTTGGATCACAGTAGGTAGCAATCAGATGCATGATCTCTGCCTATCACAGGAATTTCTTATAATGTGACATATTACACAGGTGACTTCTATTTAAGTAGTCAAAGAATACCAAAGCTGTACTACCCCATTTACTGAACGTTTACTGCCCAAAAATAAAACCAGGTTATAATACTGAAGCTTAAAAAAAAACTAAGAACTCAAAATACTTATAGGAAATTACAAAATAGTTAGTTGTAGATGTTGGTGTGTTCACCGAGCTGGGAGTTTGATAGCAGATGTTTTGTTCCCTTACTAGGTGACATCCTCAATGCTGTGTCAAGCACTGTTGTCCTGCGCCGGTTCGAACTTCCGGTCCGGTTTCTGCTGCTTCCAGTAGTGCAGATTCCGGCTGCGCGTTGTAATAGTCAGTATATTGGGTCTAATTCAATGTGTTTGTCGATGGCGTCCGCAGATGAATGCCAAGCCACCAAGAATTCCCTAGCTGTCCTTTGTTTGGCTTGTCCAAAAATAGTAGTATCGTCCCAGTTGAAAGTGTGGTTTTTCTCGTCTGTGTGTATTGAGACCAAGGACATCTACAAGGTCTTTACCAGGAAGGGATACACCTGCAGCTTCATCCACAGCCTAGCCAACAGACAACACAACCCGAAACAATAAGCACCATACCACATATACAAAACACCTCAGAACTGACAGCCAGACTACTCAGGCCGCTAGGAATCGTGACAGCACACAAAATCAGCAGCCATATTAAGACAGCAACTGACCAGGGTTAAAGACCCATATATGCCATGGACAGGACGAATGTGGTTTACAAGATACCATGTGGAGACTGCACAAAACACCACATGGGACAAACAGCAACCCGCATCCACGAACACCAGCTAGCAACCAAACGACACGACCAGATATCCTTGGTTTCAATACACACAGAAAAGAAAAACCACACTTTCAACTGGGACAACACTATCATCTTTGGACAAGCCAAACAGAGGATAGCCACTGAATTCTGGGAGGCTTGGCATTCATCCACAAATACATTGAATTAGACCCGATACACCGACCATTACAATGCACAACTGGAACCTGCACCTACCGGAAGCAGCAGAAACCAGACCATATAAATTTGAACTGGCAAAGGACAACAGTGCTTGACAGGAGGCTCCACAGCACTGGGGATGTCACCTAGTAAGGGGACGAAACGTCTGCTATCAAACCTCCCACCTCGGCGAACACACCAACATCTACAACCAGCACCCAAGCTACAAATCTTCACTCAAACCCCAAAATATAGTTAGTGTAGCACATTAACAGAATGCAAAATGTATTTAATTACTTTTGCCTCTTCAGTGACATTTGCAAAAAAACAATTCCTTCAGCTGGTTAGCATTGTGACTCTTATGAAGCAGACCTCAGCAATCTTTTCTAAAGATTTAAAAGCTGTTAATAAAACATTCTAATGGGTCGCACAAGATATAACATCTAAATGTTCAGACTGAGCTTGCTGGCAGACTAAAATAAAGACTTGTAAGTTTTAAAATAAAGATAACATCAACTACATGGAGTTGCTGACAATGAGTGTAAGAAAGCTGGAATTTCATCTGGCAAATATATTACCAATATTATTGACAGATTGCAATTATAATTAAGTTTGAATTTCACAGCATCCAGGAATGTGCATGGTGTTTTTAAAACCACTTTCCACAATTA